TTCCTCTGACCCTCAGCATAATGTTTCTCTTCAAGCACTGGTTCCTCAAGAGAACCCCAGATAAGTCAGTCAGTCTTACCACCCTTACCTCTAAGGAACACTCTGGGTGCACCTCCTCCAAGACAGAAAGAAGGAAGCCTGCCCAGTCCTTTGCCATCCTCACAATTCCCGCTGGACTAACACCTAATGTTGTGGTCACTGTCCCAGTCCAGATGGCCAGGGGTTTTGCTCTCCTTCACTGTTCCTATCCTTTTCCAAACATGATGTCCTTCTCCATAGTCTTGCCCCCCTACTTTGCACATACATGTGTAAATTATGTCAGACATCCAGCCCTCTGGATAGCCTTCTTTTTTTTCCCTAACTATTTGATAGATCATGAATACTTCCAAAAATTATCTGTAATGTAGTTTCTTCTCACAGATACAGTAAATAAAACAAAGTAAAACAAAACCACACAGTTGCTCCATGAGGCTGTTCCAGTAATGTGAGCCTATTGGTGAAGCCCCATCGGGATAGACCTCAAGCTTTTGATATACATTTGTTCTCCTGGCAACTCCTAGACTAGATTTTATGTAAAAGTGGAAGATTTCCAGATGAGGCAACTATTTTTCATGGAATACCATTTGGATTGAGTTTTTAGTGATGGCTAAAATGTTGAGTTGAAGAAAGTAAATATCATGACAGGCAGAAAAAAGATCATAAGCAGATCTCAAGATGTCAAATAGTGGAGTATGTGCTAGGAACTGTGGCTAGTCAGATTCAGTAATTCAAGGACAGTTTATTAATTAGTTGGGAGCCTGGTTTAATTCAGTAGAAAATTCAAGCAGAATTTATTGAGCACCCATGATTTGTTGTGCTTGTTGGTAGGAGCTGCTCCATCTCATATTGTTATTGTTAGGTGCAGTTAGGTCCACTATACTTCACAGTGACGCGGTGAAGTGACTGATCCTTGCCCTATCCTGTGCCAGCCTCACCCTCTCTGTCATGCTACAGCCCATTGTTACAGTTACTGTGTCAGTCCCATCTAGTTGAGAGTCTTCCTCTTCTTCTGACCCTCCACCTTTCCCAGCATGATGTCCAAAAAGTTATGTTTAATGGGTAGCTGGTTTTTGGGTTTTCCTCCCCCTTTTATATTAGTAATTGGACACTAGGAATGATTGGCCAAAACCAGGAAGGTGACATTTGAGAGTGAGTGAGAAAGGTGAAATTTTGCGTGCCGGTGAAGCAGTTGGTTTCCTGGATAGAGACCCTAGAAAACTGACCCAGAAGCAGTTGATTAGGAACTAAATGAGCCACCTGAAGGCTTTGTTTGCCACTGCTCTTCGTAAATCATTGGCATGATTGTTGTTATGTGCCGTCAAGTTGCCTCTGACTCAAAGGAACTCACTGCATAGTAGCTCTGAATCCTGTCCTATCCTGAGCCAATCTCACTACCTCTGACACATCTTCTCCTATTAACCCAGTTACTGAGTTAATCCATCTCATCGGGATCTTCCTCTCTTGAGCTGTCCCTCGACCCTTCCAAGCATGATGTCTTTCTTCAAGAACTCGTTTATCCTTCCAAGCATGATGTCTTTCTTCAAGAACTAGTTTATCCTTCCAAGTATGATGTCTTTCTTCAAGAACTAGTTTATCCTGGCAGTATGCCCAAAGTATGTCAGATGGAACTTAAAAATCCTTGCCTCTTAGGAGCAACGTGGTTTCACCCTCTTCAGGACAAACCTGTTTGTTGCCTTGTCAGTCCGTGGAAAGTTCAGTTCACTTCTCTAGCACCACAACTTAAAGGTATCAATTCTTCTTCTGTCATCCTTAGTAATTTTCCAGCTCTCTGATGCATAGCAAGTAATTTCAAAGACCATGGTTTGGATCAGGCACACCTTAGTTTCTAGATGGATATCATTGTTCTTTAACACTTGGAGAGGTTCCTCACCACAGATTTTCTCAGTGCAATTCGTATATTGATTTCCTGACTACCGGAGCCAGGAATGTTGATTGTAGAGCCGAGCAAGCTGAAATTGTTAATAATCTCAATCTCTTCTCTGTCTCTCCTGGTGCTGGCAATTGGACCAGTGGTGAGAATCTTTGTTTTCTTGATGTTACATTGCAATCCATATTGAAGACAACAGTCCTTGACTTTTTGCAGCAAATTCTTCAGGTCATCCTCAGTTTTGGCTAGCAGTGTTGTGTCATCTGCATAATGTAGGTTGTTGATGAGTCTTCCTCCAATCGTGATGCAACATTCCTCCTCATAAAGTTCGCCCTCTCGAATGATCTGTTCCACATATAAATTGAAAAGGTATGGAGATAGAATGCATCCCTTGTGTACACCTTTCCTGATTTTGAACCATACAGTGTTTCCTTGCTCTGTTCTGACAACTATTTCTGGAATAGGTTTTGTATAAGCACAATCAGGTGTTTTGGGATTCCCATTCCTCTCAAGGTTAGCCACAATTTGTCCATGCAGTCAAATGCCTTTATGTAGTCAATGAAACACAGACATTGAACTGCTAAAAATAGTTGCATTGTTAGGATATATTAATAAACACTTTTATAATTGTCCCCTGTATTTTTCCATGTGCTTGGTCACATCTTGAGTATTGTGTAACTTTGGGTCATTTCAGACAGAAAAACTGTAGTAGGTCTTTAGAAGTTGCAATAAAACTCTTTGGAATATTTTAACAGAACTCACTAACACAAAACCTTGGCCAGTAGTCCAAAACCCCTTTTTAACGAATAGAAGATTCTCCTTCAGCAGGAGAGTTTAAACTTGAATCTTCACAAGGGAGATATTTTTCCTGTTCATTTTGTGTCTGCCCTGCCTGGAGCAGGTGTGGTGTGTAGTATGCACATAACTATTGACTTGGTGTGTGAAAAGTGGTCCTTAGGGGCTGGGGATAGTGACACACCACAGGAGCCAACAGAGCCCTGGGCAGTGGTGGTTTACACGTGCCTGTGCCCTTGCTTGACACTTTGACATCGTGGCCACACTCTTTGAATGATGTAGTCCCTGTGATACCACAATTATACCCTAAGGGGTCGGGGGTCTTCTGCTGTTCCTGAACCAGCAAAAGGTAGAATCAGAGAAGGAGTGACAGGTAATAAGAAATGTAAAAGCATATCTGATCCAGAGTCTGTCTGTTCATTCATGCTGAGCCCTTGTGGACCAGACTGATGTGCTGTTTCTTTAGAAGTTTGATACACAAACTAGAGGGGAGCCAGCTTTGCTCTTTGTTCCTTTTATTCAGTTGTTTTTTTCCCCATTACAGAACACCAGAACTACTTTGGCATAGATGAAAACCTCGGCCCTGTGGCAGTCAGCATCCGGAGAGAGAAAGTGGAAGATGCAAAGGAGAAAGAAGGCTCTCAGTTCAACTACCGTGTGGCTTTCCGCACCAGCGAGGTAAGGAGCAGCCTGCACCGTGTCTGCATGGGTTGAAGTCCGTGACCAGTAAACACAGCCCTGAGGGCCTCCTCTGCCACCTCCTTTCCAGGGAAGACAGCTCATCTCTAAGGGACACGCCTTTTCTAATAAATCTATCTTTGCTTTTTACCTTCAAAAAAACAAAACTGCTGTTAGGTTACTTGACTGGGACATGCCCTAAAGAACGTGTTTACCTGTTGGTGTATTTTCTGCTGTTATTGTCTTTGCTACCCATTGTTGTGAAGATTTATTTGTACAAGTGCTGACCACGAATACCAACTGATCTGCAAATATCCAACTATAGTTAGGATGGCTGATGATTTCTAACTGCCAGCCGTTGTTGACGTTCTTTACTGTATTTCTGTGTGCATCTCCCCCTTTCATGTCGATGTGGACAGAGGCTAAGGCACAGCATGTGTCTGTGTTATATAATTTATATGCAGTGGAGTTGTCATGTGGACCTTAGCAGTCTGCCTTCAAGGTCAGGCTCATCAAGTCCTGAAGCAGCCCCGAGAAGTCCCCACCCTCTGCGTGGAATGCAGTGTCACGCTTTCTAGGAGACACGTGTACTTTGTCTTTAGTATGCCTTAAGCAAGGTACAGCTTTGGTTTGCTTCAGACATAGCGTTGAATTTGTAAGTTTTTTAACTAATATGAAAGAATACATGCAGCATTATTGGGAACTGAAAGAGAGTTGCAGACTAATAATTAGGAAATTTGCCATGATTATCAAATAGTAGTGATTTCAATTGTAACTTTGCACACAAATAGCTTAAAATTATAAAAGTAGAAGACTTGGGTGATTAGGAGTAGGTAACTCTGAGATCCTAACCAGAAAATGAGATGGCCTGTTGGAGGGGGGTTATTTGAAGAGTGTTTTATTAGCATAGCCCCTCCTCCTGCCCTGCTTCATTGTGATGAGGAGCCAGGTCAGTTCTCGGTGGTCTTGCTTTGGGTACTTGAGTGAGCATGTTGTAGAAATGCCACAGCACAAAGCTAAGTAGGTAGAAGGGCACGTGTATGTAAAGGGTTAAATCTGCCATGCACATTTTACTTTTTTAACTTATCTTACTTAGAAGATCATCCCTGGGTGGTAGAAATATTTAATGTTCTTGGCTACTAACCAAAAGGTTGGTGGTTCAGAACCCTCCAGGGGTGTTGTGCAGCACAGGCCTGGTGATCTCCATCTGAACAGTCAGCCACTGAAAACCCTGTGGAGGGAGCACAGGTCTCTCTGACCTCATGGGGCGGCTGGCGTTGGCTGATGACAAAGTGATTGGTTCTGTTTGGTTGATGTTCCTGAAGGTGTATTTTGATTGCCAGCTTCATGCTGACAGAGCAAAGGGTGCCTTCCGTAGTTACAGACTGCATGGTGTGTAAAGTGCTCTGCATTTTACCTCGTAGTGAGACATCCTGCTACCCTGGCTCTGTGCTGGAAGGAAGTGACATGATTAATGTCACTTCATAGACGGTTATTGTTGCTATGTACTGTTGATTCAGAACTGACCCATATTGGAACCTCTAGCACGTTTCAGAGGTAGTAAATCTCAGGGGAGGAGACCGGCCATCCTTCTGCAGAGCAGTTGGTGGATTTGAACCACATACTTGAGTTGTCAGTATAATTTCTTACCACACTAGACACATAAACCTAGTTAAGTTTAAAGTAATTCAAATAACAATTTAGTGTCTTATACAGTTGTTGGATGCTGCTGCTTCCATTGCTGAATGTAGGTCTGAGATATGTACACAGTCATGATACCATGCGCTCACCCCATACTTCAGGATATCAGCAGATCCTGGCAGAGCATAGTATTGTCCTGCCCTGAGAGAGTGGCCAGCAATCTCTGCCTAGCCCCGAACTACTCTGGGATAGTGATAGCTGGAACCCCATTTACACTAAGGAGTCACCAGTGGTGGATGATGGAGGAGAAGTGTGACAGAGAAAAGAAGACATCACAAAATTTGAAAAGTAGGGAGATATCTTTGTTTTGCATGCTGTCTTCCTTCTCCTTGCTCTTTAAGCCCACACCTAGCTATCTCATCACAGCCTGGCTGTCCCCCAATCCTTGTGCATCTTTGCCATTTAAAGACTGCCTGATTGTTGATTTTGCCTCTTCAGATTGACTACTTTATTTTCCTTTGTCTGTTCATGGAAGAGCCTAATCTCTCTTCTCTTTGCAGACAACTGAAACTGTCTGTGTCACACAAGTATTGTGGAAGGTTTGGTAACGAAGTGTTTCCTCCCCGCTGCAGCTGACCACCCTGAGAGGCGCCATCCTAGAAGATGCCATCCCGTCCACCGCTCGGCATGGCACTGCCCGAGGACTGCCTCTGAAGGAAATCCTGGAGTACGTCATCCCAGAGCTCAGCATCCCGTGCCTGAGGCAGGCTTCCAGCTCACCCAAGGTCTCAGAGCAGCTCCTCAAGCTTGATGAGCAAGGGGTGTGTATCAAGTGGGCCTGGGTGTGAGGGTGTGCTTAACTGTCTGCTAATTTCCTCCTCCAGCCTTTTTTCAAAACCATTCATCTTTAATGGCACACAGCGTTTTCTCCTGAGTTATCCCAGATCTGCAGTTATGCTAGACAACATGATGCTCTTACTGGAGTAATGAACCTTCTTATTTAGAAAAAACAATCTTCTTACTGGAATAACGTATCTTCTGCTAAGTTGTGACTTTTGGTTAAAAAAAAAATTCCAGTGTCAAGAGCCTATCTGATTGCATAACCAGTAGCTAAGTGTCAGGTGGGTAATAAGTGTCTTTCCAGGGTTTGGAAAACTCAGCTTGACCCTTTCCCTGAACAAGCATTTGTCCTTGTTTACTGTATGTGCAGTGTACTAGCACATGAGTGTGAACAGCATGCATCAGGAAGACTGAAGATGACTAAGAGCAGGCCATGGGCAATGCAGGGCTCAGAAAGGGAGGATGGAAATATATCTTGGAGAGATGGGAAAACAGTCAATGCTTTGAGAAAAGAAACAGTGTATTACTGAGTTTATCGCTTGTTGGAATTGGCGTCTTAGCTGGACCTTTAGGCGTGTGTGTGATTTTAAAAGGGAGGCAAGTAGTTGGCAGTTGTAGCAAGTGGACAAGCCTAGTTTTTTTACCAGGAAAGGGTGTGAGTTGGAAGGGTGTGAGAGGTGAGCCTCTGGAAGTGAGTGAGGCTGGAGGCCTGGATGCCAGGTGAAGAAGTCTACAGTGCATTCTCTTGGCTCTAGGGCACTGATCAAGGTTACAGCAGAAAGTGGCATGATCCGTTGTATTTTAGAAATGGAATGTCCTGTCCCTCTGGCGAGGAGAGAGACATATGCTGGCTGGACCTTCAGTCACGTCATCTGCAACATTGTTTCAGGGACACTTAATACTGGACATGCCTGTGATGGTGGCCTTGAAAATGGAAAGAAGTCTTTCAGCTTTTATGTGTAAAATAATTTTTCAGGGAGGCTGATAGCCCGGTGTCCCAGTACAATACATTTTCAATGAGTGGATTTGTTTTTTAAGTGAATACTTAAGATAAAAGACCGCAGGGAAATATATTTTCTGACTTTACAAAAGAAAATTCTTTGCCTTCTTTTGTGGGGAATATGAGCAGGATTTCTGGTTGACCTAGTGATAAACGTTGTGGTAAAGTAGACTCTTTAATAGCTGAGATGGCCAGGACTCTAAAAGTAATGAAACTAATTGAACTGTAACGAGTTAATGTCACAGTGTTAGGAGGAAGGAGACACTTAGATATTCAAAGTGAGCAAATCTGAGGTCTGGAAGGATCAAGAGTCGAAGGCCTGACAATTAGAAACAATCACCAAACAGAACAAGAGCAATCAGTTTGAAAAGCCATGCTATGCACAGACCAGATTCGCCAGGACCCTGGCTGGTAAGTGTGGGACTGTAAGATGTACCCGCCTGACAGTTGTGGTAAGCACATTGCTGTGGAGACAGAGGAGGACTCCTGCGCTCATCCAGACGCCCAGTTCCGGTGCTGCTGAGAAACAACAGCAGCATCCTGCACCGTGCGTGAGGGAAACTGGTAAGAAGGACCTGCTATTATGGGTGCACTTGTTGCCCTTTGCTCCTAACATCTTTATACTGGACATTTTTTAAATAAATCACTGTACTGAATCGAGAAGTCAGGTGGGCTTGCTTGCCCAGTCTGTGGCCCGTGTGCCCCTCAGGCTGCTGTTGGAGAATGCCATCCATCACTCCAGTTCTCCAGCATGACCCGGGAACCCTCACACCCACACCAAGGGTGCTGCCCTCGGAGAATGCCCTGCATCCCTCCAGTTCCTCATAGGGTTGCTGCCTTCTGAGAATGCCCTATATCACTCCAGCTCCCCGTCATGACCTGAGACCCTCACACCCACACTAGGGGTGCTGCCCTCGGAGAATGCCCTGCATCACTCCACTTCCCCAGCATGACCCTGCCCTGGGAACCCTCACACCTGTGCTGTGAATGCTCCTGTTGGAGAATGCCCTACATCATCCAGTTCCCCAGCATGAGCTTCTGCCTGCACCCTGAATGCCGCTGTTGGAGAATGCCACAGTCACTCCAGTTCTCCAGCACGACCTCCTGCCTGCACTGTGAATGCTGCTGTTGGAGAATGCCACAATCACTCCAGTTCTCCAGCACGACCTGACCCTGGGAGCCTCCTACCTGCACCGTGGGTGCTGCCCTCAAGGAAGGTTTCTCAGGCAGAGCCGGAAAAGGAAACGGCTTCTGGGACTGCCCGCCTGCTCCTGATATCTACAGGAGTTGATTCAATGTAAACCAAACCAAAAAAGGGCATAGTTAGTATTTTAAAAATTAAGACCTATTTACAATTTGAGGACACTGGTGGCACAATGCATTACGTGTTTGACTGCTAACCTAACTGAGAGCCATTTGCATTTACTACATGTGAGAGAAAGATGTGGCAGTGAATTTGCATAAGGATGTACATCTCAGAGACCCAGAGGGTCAGCTCTCTGCCGTCCTCTAGCCCCCCGGAGTCAGTATTGATAGACAGCATGGGTTTGAGTTTTTAAATTACATCTTATGGCAAAGACTTAATTTTGAAATTATTTTTAAGGTTGTACTTTTAAGCTGCCTGATATATTTCATTGTCCTGGTATTTAATCTGAGGGTTTTGTTAGATTGCATTTGTTCAAACTTTAGTGCTCTTGGTAATAATTAGTAAAAAAATGTTGTTTCAACATTCCAAAATTCTTACTTGATATGATTCCTAAATCACACTTGATCTAAAAAGGTTACAGTAAAGAAATTCGTTTTCATCTCTGAAGGGGATTAGACATTAGCTTCCCTGTGGAGATCCAGCTAGAACTGAAGTCACTGCTGACATGTGGCTGAGAGATCACTCCAAATTATGCTGTGGGTTTTTGTTTGTTTTTATCTCCTTATTTGTTCTTCACTTTTCTCATAGTAAATCCGTCCATTCAGACTGATTTTCTCATCTTGACAAGACGTGGAAAATAGTCTGAAGTAGAACTGCAGCTCCTCGTCCTACCCATCCCTCCTCATGCCACAGTCCCTCCTTGTCCTGCTCGTCCCTCCTCCTGGTGCTGCCCATTGTATCTCTCCTCATCCTGCCCATCCCTCCTCGTCCTGCCTGTCCCTCCTCATGCCTCAGAGACATTGGAGACAAGAGTGACTCCCAGATGAGGCATCCAGGGGGTGCTGCCAGATGGTACTGAGACGGCCCTGAGGTGAGCCACAGAGAGTCAACAGAGGACTGACAGATGGTCAGCACACTCTGGGCAGTGGGCGTTGCCGTTGAGGGTGACTGTGTGTCACAGGACACAGTTCTGGCTTTAGAGACAGTGGGTGGTGGAATATGCCCACACTTGGGACCAGTGATGTTTGAGAAGCCTGTGCCCATCCTGATCATTCTGCCATGTCTTATAAACTCTCACAAAGGCACATAGCCAGAGAGCAGCCCTTCTTCACAGAGTGGACGAGCAGTCAGACTCTTAGGCGATCAGGCTTTGGAATGGCCAATTGTGAGTGCTTGTTACAACGGTGTTTGCCTGTAGTTACTGTCCAGTGCTGCCCCACCAACTGTGGCTCACCATGGCCCCTTGAACAGCAGATCTGCAGCCTGTCCTGTCCTACACTCTCCTCACCATCTCTGCTCGAGCCCGTGTCAGGGTCCATCCATCTTACTGAGGGCCTCCTCTCTCACTCAGTGCTTTTACCAGCGTGATGTCTCTGTTCAAGGACCGGCGTCTCCTCATAACACAGAAGCATCCTACTGCGTTATGGTTGGCCTGTAAGCAGGTGGCATGGACTCTTACAGTGCTGAATAACTCCCTGAAAGAGCCTGGTGATTGCAGTGTTTTATTGCCTTGCTACTTAAGGGAGTTGATTATGATTTTACCTTATTTCTCTGATACATTCAACTCTGAGTTTGATGAAGGCTCCTCTGTTTTAGCATGAGGTGGAGAGTGGACAGTGCCTCGTCACTGTTGGGCAGGGGCTGTGAGACTCCAATTGCTGGTCAGAGTAAGAGAGCACTCGTCTCACCAGGAGAGCTGCTCCCCTTCGTCCTCTCTGAGAAAGGTGTCTAGCTTCCCCTGGCCTCAAGAGAAGGAGCCTTGACTCACACCACGTGAGAGATTTAATAAAAAATCTTTTCATTTCTAGGCCAATTCTTGGTGTATTGAGTGTTTTTCTTTGAAAAATACTAAAATGAGAAATACTTGTAATTGTGCAGCCAAAGTTACTTTTACAGAAACAAATGCTATTTATCTATGTGTATCACAGTTTCCACTGAGACTCTTTCCTTACCATAAACTGCAATTGAATACATTTTGTAAGGCCCTCTGTAGTACCATCCATGTCCAAATAATGAACACTAGGAAGCAGAAGAAGGAAATCCTGTGGAAGTGTGCTGCTTCGTTTCTGATGAGGGGTACTTGCACTTGGAGGGATGGCGAGACTCTTTCTGTGAAATTGGTGCCCACTGAGAGCGACCATAAAGAATAGAACTGCCCCCAAGGGTCCCCAGACTGCTCATGGACGCTGCCTGCACGTCTTCCTCCTACTGAGGGGCTGGTGGAATTGAGCTGCCGACTTTCTGGTGAGCAGCTGAGTGCTGTAACATCTGCACCACTAGATCTCCTCAACAGGGCATGTCGACTCCCCAGTTCTGTGTTTGTATTTTGAATAGACACTTGGACCTGCCTCTGCGTGTCCCATCTGGAAGCCTCACTCATCCCCCATGACCAGGGCCACACAGTTTCCTTGGATCCCTGACCTGACACTTCTCTAGCTGTAGGTTGAGTTTCTGGTTTAAATACATATTTTGAAGCAACAGATAGTGACAGAGATTTACTGTTTTGCTTATTTGTTTCTGGACATGGTTCTGGGCTGCTTTCCTAAGGCTAATTGTTGGTTTCTGCAGTTTTTCCTTTTCTTGGGTTTATCAGATCCTCCGTGCTAACTAATTCCATCTCTCACCCATTTCAGCTCAGCTTTCAGCACAAGGTTGGGATCCTTTACTGCAAAGCAGGCCAGAGTACAGAGGAAGAGATGTACAACAACGAGACGGCGGGGCCGGCCTTTGAGGAGTTCCTCGATCTGCTGGGCCAGCGAGTGAGGCTGAAAGGATTTAGTAAATATCGAGCCCAGCTCGACAATAAAAGTAAGCTTCGCATCTGTGTGTTTGCAAGTGTGGTTCTCTAAGGCAGGCAGACGGTGAACCTGAGCTGATGGGCTCGGGCCACAAGCTGTCCCCCAGCAGCCCAGCGAGGTCAGTCAGATCAAGGTATATTTCCTCTAGTGAGTGAAGAAAGCACATTGCCCAGGAGAACTGTGCTTCGCTTCTTAAGCTCAAGAGGTCAGTTTTTCCTTTCTAGCACCACAGAGATGCTCCCCGTGTTCCTAGAACACTCTCCTGTATTGTGTCCTTTCCCTGGCTGTTACATGCTCATTTTCCATATGCCAAGGACAAGCACTACATTTATTTCTCGGAGGCGGCATCGTCCTGAGCGCATTCGTTCATGGCTTGTTATCAGGCTTATTATCTTTGTTTCAGGATTCAGCAAGCTGGCAGGGGAGCTGGAGGAGTGATGAAAGGCATCGTATTTTCTGTGACATTAGTCAGGCTCCCTGGAGGAACGGGACCCATGGAAAGCACGTACCCTCAGTCCCCCCATGACAGGAGTCTCTCTCCTGTATTGTCATCTATGTAACTGTGTGTCTGTGGTCCTCATACATGATTCATGTTTCTAATCTTTGTACTTGCAGTGTTATTTAGTTACTATCAGCACCTACAATACCAAGCAGAGTCATTTTAATGGTTTCTTTTAATGAAAACACTGAGCAGAGAGATTCAGATTTGGGGCCTCTTCGAGGGTCCTTGGTCCACGAAGGGAGTGAGGACGCTTGAGGCGTGGTGAGGAGAGAGCACAGGATCAGGGTCAGGGAAGCAGACTGGGGTGGAAGAGGGTGCCCGTGGATTTGAGGCACAGTGAGGTGAGAGTGCAGTGTCAGGGTCAGGTGGCAGGGCAGATGGACGAGGACACCCGTGGATGTAGGACATGGTGAGATGAGAGCACAGTGTTATGGTTAGGGAGGCAGAGTTGGGTGGAAGAAGTTGCCCTAGACGTGAGGCATAGTGGGATGAGAGTGCAGTGTCATGGTCAGGGAGGTAGAGCCGGGTGGATGCTGATGCCTCTGGCCATGTGGCTCCCATCTGTCATAGAGACTGCTCAGTCTCTAATCCCTGGTCACAAATTCTATTTAGTGTGACACTGTCAGTGGTGCCCCACCTTGAACTTGTGCTGTACTGTGTGATGATCCACCTCACATGCGCTGTGGTGGGTTCTCAGCTTTTGGGCTAGGTCTTGACAGTTAAGGGTACAGGATACCACAGAAGTAGAAGCAGCATTAACTCATATGCGGACCACATTGGACATGTCAGAGTTGGAACCTTGGCAATAGAATGAATCATACGGACTATGAAATAAGTCCGTAACACAAAACCTTAGAAGAATCCATGTATTTTAAGATCAATGAGGCCATTTCTAATTTTTTTATTTTCTTTTCATGCACAAATCCCCGTTGTCATAAAGCATTGTTCTCTAAATGGGCACTGTCTCACACTGGTCATCTTGCTTGAAATCACTTCACTCTCAGTAGGCATCCGAGGGCTCACCTGCCTTGAGTGGGTTGAGAAAAATCTTTAAGAACTCCTGATATGTATGTTCTGCCAAACTAACATAGTGTCTAACCATCATCAGCACCGAATTTGTATGAACTTGGAGATATTACTGATATATTCAATTATAGTGCCCAGCACCTTAGCACAAGAAGGTGATAACATCAGAGTTCTTATTTGATGTATTAATGCTAATAATCAACAAATATTTGAGTTGTTCTGTTTTATGAGCAAAGCTTTTGGTTAGACATTCTGAGAGCTTCCAAGAAGGCTAAAGCGTAATCCTGCCAGCAGAAAGGAGATCATCTCAGAGAATTTGTGTCATTGTCCATGTAAAATTGTCTTTTGTGGACACATAAAAATATTTCTCCATAGGTTTGAGAGACTCAGACTCTAGTTCAGGGCTTGCACACATCTGAGCAACAGCTTCCTCATGGGTAGAATTCTGGGCATTAAACTCGATTATCTTGGATCCCTTTTCAGTTCTAAAATAGGTTGAAATTTGTTTCAGTATAATGACCAATATTGTTTTTCACTATTCAAAAGAGAGAAATACAGTGATATAGAAATCAAAGATAGAAAAGCAAACTTTATAATATATTTATATAGAGACAGAAACATACACACACAGAGAGACACACACAAGTAACATGTAATGTGTTATAAATATGTAATATAATAAATAACATAAAATATGTTTTACCTCAATGCACAGTGACTCAAAACCATATTTCAAGATGATTATTTAAATATTTCATAGACATTATGTTGCTTTTGTGTCTGAAATTCTCAATTTGATGTAATCCGATTAATAATACAAATGGGTTTTGAATTTGCACAGAACCCTTCTGCTTTTCAGAAAATTAATAGGGTTCAGATGTCAGAGAAGCTGTTTTAAGCATGTCAGTGTATATTATACAGTAAAAGGGCGCATCATCCTCCATTTCCTTAGTTTTATAATATGCATAGTGCATTTTCTATTTAAAGGAAGGAAATTAATTGTATTATTTAATGAAATAGTTTTTAAAGTAACTATTTTTGTTCTAATTTCTCTATTAAATCAACTTTTCCATGTTGTTGGGAACCTGGAAAAATAAGTGCCAAGAATAATTCAGAATTCAGTGTAAACACACAAGTCTGAGCACCTCGTAAAGACTGCTCGCACACACCTTCACGTGGTTGCAGCAGCACCTCCATCCACTGAGCATGAGTGCCTACCTCTTCTCACACTGTGCTGCTCATGTTTGGAGCGCCTGGCCTGCGGAGGCTCAGCTGAGTCTGCACTGCAAAGGGGAGAATGTAGGATAAAAAGGCCGGGTACAAAACCAAAGCAGGTGAAGTGCAGTAAGGAGAGAATCAGCACAGTACCACTAACAAAAGGGAGACACAGAGCAGTTTGGATGGATTAGTGGAAACCAGAACTCCAGGAAAGGAGTGGGAAAAGTGTGAACACATTGTTACAGAAAGTTAATCTTTTAGAACAAAATGTATAAATGGTTGAATGAAAAAATGTATTTGCTTCATAAACTTTCACTCAAATCAATAAAAAAGTAAGTAATTTGAAAGAAAAAATATAATTTGAAAGGTAACTTAGCATATATTTAAAGTAAATGTTCATATTTCCCTAATTTATCCTCTTCATCTTTTCTCAACTAAGTATTAATGTACACTTTATTCAGTTTAGTATCTTAGGCATCTTTCAGTGTTGTTATATGTCATCAAGTCTCCTGAGATTCATGGTGACCCTATGTCATCAGCCCTAAACCCTGCTCTATCCTGTGACAATCTTTTGTCTCTGACACACCTACCCCCATTACCCGAGTCACTGAATCAATCCATCTCTTCGAGGGTCTTCCTCTTTCGCACTCTCCCTCCATCCGCCCAAGCATGATGTCCCTCTCCAAGGACTGGTCCCTCTTTGTAACATGTCCAAAGTATGTCAGACGGAGCTTCAGAATCCTTGCCTCTAAGGAGTGTCCTGGTTTAACCCTCTCTAGGATGAACCTATTCATTTTCTTAGCAGTCCATGGTATATTCAGTACTCTTCTCCAACCCCACAGCTCAAAGGCATCAATTCTCCTTCTATCATCCCTAGTCATTGTTCAGCTCTCTGATGCATAGCAAATGATTGCAAAGACCATGGCCTGGATCAGGCACACCTTAGTTTCCAGAGGACATCATTGCTCTTCAGTACTTTGGAGAGGTCCCTGACAGCAGACTTTCCCAATGCAATATGTCTTAACTTCCTGGGTGCTCGTGCCAAGAGTGTTGATTGTGGAGCCAAACAAACTAAAGCTGTTAACAATCTTAATCTCTTCACTATCCATCATGATGCTGACAGTCAGCCCGGTGGTGAGAATCTTTGTTTTCTTGATGTTGAGCTGCAATCCATATTGAAGGCTGCAGTCCTTGACCTTCTGCAGCAAGCGCCTCAGGTCCTTTTCAGTTTCAGCAAGTAAGGTTGTGTCATCTTTCAGTGTAATAGAGTTAAAATGGAAACTTGGAAGAAATAAAATTATTATTATTATTATTATTAATTATTATAAAATACAGTGTATTGGAATATATGTAAAAGATGCATTCTTGAAGCATAACATCAAGAAAATCTACATTAAGGAGAAACCACTTTTCAAGTACTTTTTATGTTCTATAAATGAGGTTGTAAATCAGTCTCAAGTAGCACATTAGCCCAAGCCCTGAGGTTGTCTTATTTCTTAATTGTCACTAAACATGAAGATTGGGATGGGGGTAGGGGTTGACTGAAGCCACCAAAGCAGGCAGGAGAGAGCTGATGGAGAGGAAACTGAGTACTTAGACACAGCTCATTCTATGAAGACAGGACCATTAGCATCAGGATTCTGGCAGGGTAGAGTCTGATTTCTGTTTTTCAGCTAAACTGGTTTAGGTAGTAATCATCTTCAAAAGTACAAGCATTGTAACTGTCTAATTCCTTTTTGTAATTCATCTTCCTTTCTAGCGGACTCGACCGGAACGCACTCCCTCTACACCACGTACAAGGATTACGAGCTCATGTTCCACGTCTCCACTCTGCTGCCCTACATGCCCAACAACCGACAGCAGGTGGGTCCACTGGCCAGCTGCTCCCTCAGCGAGCTCGGAGCCTCAGGCGGACATGGGTGGAACAGGCGATTCAGGGCGGTGCAGCTGTGTTTTTTCTGAGTACTAGTAACACTTTTATCCTATCATTGGCAGTGTTGGGCTTTGAAGGTTATTTTTACACAAGTGCTATATTTATTTTCTTGTGCATCTTGAAAACTCTTCCATAATTGCCTTTATTGTCTCATGGTCAGAACCTACAAGTCAATCATTGTCAACTGTGTAATTGCATAACCTGAACTTGGGTTTCTACACGTGAGTAAATAACTGATTGGTGCAAAATACTATTATAATTGGTACACTTGGTGCTATTTTCAGCCATTCTTCCTCATTCCATTTTTATTGTTTTAATTGGCTTTATTGAACTTTCCAGAGGGGGAAAAAATTAGTATGCTTTGAATGTAACAGCTTGCTAAAAATTAAAAACTTTAAAAAAACTTGTATGATACGTAAAACATCATAAAAAATTGATAAAATTTTTAATCACTCACTCTCACTCATTGTCATTGAATTGTATCAGTAAATGGAATTGAGCAAAGTTTTTAAAACTCAGGTAGTGGAATTATTACTTGCTTTTGCTGTTGCTGTGGCAGGAATGTTTGAAATGCCAGGTCTGCTCAGCAGATAAGCTTGGTTGAACATGGAGGACATTTGGGGATGCAAAGAAAGATCAATGGCTTAGAGTCAGCTCCATCCCATATTGAGTGTTGTTTTAAACCCTTCGCATGCTAGAGCTAAAGACTTTATAGGAAACATCAGCTGCTCCTCAGCATTCATTACCGGAATGGTTTACCGCTTACCCTGAAGGTCACAGCTGATTCATGGTTTGACTTAATTTTAGAAATTTACCTGTACAAGGAAGAATCCAAGACACTAAAGAGCTGAACAGAAGATTCCAAAAGGCAGCACGGAATGACAAAGCAAAATACTACAATGAAATGTGCGAGGAGCTAGAGTCGGAAAATAAAAAGGGCCGGACTCGTTCAGCATTTCTTAAGGCCAACTGAAGAGCAAATTCAAACCTCGAGTTGCTACAATCAAGGATGCTTTAGGCAGAATGTTAAATGATCCAGGAGGTATTAAAAGAAGATGGAAGAAATATACTGAATCATTCTATTAAAAGGAATTGGCAGATACAGAAGAATTTAATGAAATAGCATTTGAGCCAGAGCCTATGGTGATGAAGGCAGAAGTTCAAGCTGCTTTGAAGGAAATAGCAAAAAATAAGGCCCCCGGAATAAATGGTATACTAATTGACATATTTCAGCTAACAGTTGCTGCCATGGATGTGCTCACTAAGTTGTGCCATGAAATCTGGAGAACAACCACTTGGCCAACTGACTGGAAGAGATCTATATTTGTTCCCGTCCCAAAGAAGGGCGACCCAACTGAGTGTGGAAACTACAGAAAAATATCATTGATTTCACATGCAAGCAAGATTCTACTGAAGATTATCCAAAAACGACTGGAACAGTACATCAGCAGAGAACTGCCAGAAGTCCAGGCTGGGTTTAGAAGGGGTCGTGGTACTAGGGATATTGTAGCTGATGTTAGATGGATCTTAGTTGAAAGCAGAGAATACCAGAAGAATGTCTATCTGTGTTTCATTGATTATGCAAAGGCATTTGATTGCGTGGATCATAACAAACTGTGGCTGACTCTGAGAAGAATGGGAATCCCAGAACATTTAATCGTGCTAATGCAAAACCTATACTTGGACCAGGAGGCAGTAGTCAGAACAGAGCAGGGCAACACTGCATGGTTCAAAATTGGGAAGGGTGTACGCCAGGGATGTGTCCTATCTCTATACCTTTTCAACCTGTATGCAGAGCAGATTATCCGAGAGGCTGGGCTCTATGAGGAGAAGCGTGGTGTTAGGATTGGTGGACAATCTGTCAACAATCTGCATTATGCAGATGACACAACTTTACTCGCTGAAACTGAGGAGGACCTCATGCACTTACTGCAGAGGGTCAAGGACTGCAGCCTTCAGTATGAACTGAGGCTCAATGTCAAGAAGACAAAAATTCTCACCACTGGACCAATCAGTAGCATCAGGATGGATGGCGAAGAGATTGAGTGTGTTCACAGCTTCAGTTTGCTCGGCTCCACAGTCAGCACTTTTGGCACCAGCAGTCAGGAATTCAAAAAACGTATTGTGATGGGAAAGTCTGCGGGTAGGGACCTCTCTAAAGTACTCAAGAGCAACGGTGTCTCTCTGGAGACTAAGGTGCGCCTGATACAGGCCATGGTTTTGGCAATCACTTGTTATGCATCAGAGAGTTGAACAATGACTAGGGAGGATAGAAGGAGAAATGATGCCTTTGAGCTGTGGTGCTGGAGAAGAGTATTGAATGTACCATGGACTGCCAAGAAAACAAACAGATTCATCCTAGAGTGGGTTAAACCAGGCTGCTCCTTGGAGGCAAGGATTCTGGGGCTTCGCCTGACATACTTTGGACATGTTGTAAGGAGAGACAGGTCTTTAGAGAGGGACATCATGCTGGGTAGAGTAGAGGGACAGCGCAGGAGGGGAAGACCCTCTATGAGGTGGATTGATTCAGTGACTGGGGTAATCAGGATGGGTGTGTCAGAGGCAATGAGAGCACGGTTTAGGGCTGTTGTACATAGGGTCGCTATGAGTCGCAAACGACTCAACGGCACATAACAACAACAACAACAACCTGTATTTAGTTTAACTACAGAGTTGAAACCAAGTTTGTTTTGATGAAACATAATTTTCCTGATGTCACATAATGTCAAGTAATTGTTACTCCCTTGCTCTCAATATATTAAAGCACTCAGGAATTGCTCCAGGTGCTTAAATGTTTCAGGGCATTTTCCTTTTTTAACACTGAGGAATTTTATGGAGGATGTGAAAACTCTTCATTTAAAAAAAAAAGAAGATTGTAGGACTGCCTTCCCCTCCGCCAGCACTAGTTTCAAGCACCACCTTGGATGCCAAGCCAAGGTGAAGCCAGGCCCTTACTCTCAGACTGGACTCTTGGGTTTGACAACAGTCCTCCTTGATTATCTGCTAGCTGATCACTAGCTCAGTGTGTGTATGTTTGATCCAGATGGCATTATAGTCTCCATATTCATGCCTTTATTTCTGTGTATTTTAATCTAAGCCCAGATTATTTGTCATAGCCAGATGGATTCAGTGGATATTTAAAAGCTTAAATTAGACCAGTGGATTCCTCCAACAGTTACGTGTAAATCACTCCATAATTAAACTATGGGAGCTGTTGCCCAGAAAACTGATAGGGCTTCCTCACATCCAGAAAATCTGTCAGGACTCCCGCAGACAGAGTGCCAGTGACTTTTGACCTCAGTTGTGGAGTGGTCAAATTAAGGAAGCTCTTTGACTTCCTTAATTGTGTGAGTCATCCGTATCTTTCACCTGTGGAAACTTCTACAGTTTATGGTCACCTTAACCTTCCTGTTATCAGACACAAATCTGGCTCCTCCTGCCCCCTTGATTGTGTGGTGATTATCATTGAGGGTTTAGGAATTCTTGCGCCTCACTTGATGGTCAGGTCACTGGAGCTGTCCTTAGGAGATCTGTACATAGGAATCTAGAGGAATAGAAAGTAAACATGTTCTGTATGTGCTTGTGTGTGTGAGAAAACTATAAACGTTTCCCCCCAAACAAGCTCATGAGTCTAAACATGATGAACTCTGTCACTCAAAGACTTCTTTAGTTAGTTTTTGAAACTTGATTGGTAAGGTATTCTGGCAGGGTAAAGGTAGAAAGTGTGGAACTTGCTTTTATTTTGTTTTTAAATTATGCTGTGTGTGGAAGAAACATGGTCCAGTACACGGCTTGTGGGAGAAGTGTCTACTAACCACACTGTCTGGGGATCTCAGTGTAATGTACGAGAGGTGAGTGAAGCTTGCCTGGGCCTTGGGCATGGCCTTTCTTCTTCCAGAGTGTTCTTCATAGTTATGAAGTGAGGGCTTGACCCCACGGGTCAGGCCCGTGGAGCCCTGTGTTAAGAGAAGTGCACGGGAGCACAGAGACCCAGAAGCAAGCACCCCTGCATTGGAGAAATGACCTCTCCCAAGGGTATTTCAGCTAGACACTGTAAAGCACTAAGCATTAGAATTCTGTGGGACTGCCTTTTTCCTGGCTGAAAAAAAAAACAACCACCAAAAACCAACTTTGCGTGAAACTATATTTGATAGGAGCAAGAATTATGGGGACAAGAGTTCTTCCACTTGAATCTCAGTGCCCAGCTTATGATCTGGGCAGACCTCTTTCTTTCCTCTGGCCAAGGGTTTGATGGCATTTTGTTCACTGAATGGGCCTTGTGCGTGGGACCCATACCTGGAACGTGGTTCCACCAGTGGCAGGAGTGAGCCCTTTCGCTGATGAGAGTTATGAAATGTAGATGGGTTAGTAGATGTGAAACACTGAAAACAGACCTGTTGCAGCACTGGTGTCATGTGTTTTAGTTATTTTAGAATTCAGTAGATCTAGTGCAGGAGGATTTTAGTTGACTTAATGTGCAGTTAACTTTCCTGTTCCCATACATGTCTATTATGAAAAACTAAGGGCTGGATAAAAGAATGATGATTAATTTCAGAATGCTGTTTTTACTGTACAGTGTAATAAACCACACTGTTGGTCATGAATTATCATCAGAATGTTCTGTTGGTACACAGTTGATCCTATGGTGCAGTCCTGGGCATGTGCCTGCCAGAGCTGTGACGTGGTGTACTGGCTGGCGCCAGAACGCTTTCCTTATCTCCAACCTTCCGCGCTGGTGCCTGCACATTAAGTAAATAGCAGAGGCATAGTTCTGAAATACCCAGGTGGGTTCATGAATGACATTTACAAAGTTAACATGTCCCACCTGAAGAGTGTGTCTAATCTTGGTCTTGTTAGCTCCATGCTCTTTCTAACTGTGACTGGTCCAGACTCGTCTGTGGCAGATCTAATTTCTTATGTTTGTTCTTCT